AAACGCTTTTCATGGAATGACACATACGTGTATTATTGAAGGTCCCATAATAACCGGCGTATAAAATATCTGCGGATGTTTCTAAATTTATAATTTTACCATTTCATGTTTAAATGTTGAATTATGCTTCAGCCGGTGCTAAGGGGCAAGGGCTGAAGTTGGCACATGACAGTGCCGTCCATGAACAGGCTCAATCAAACCGAGCCTTCATCATTTGCAATTTTGCCGTTTTGGGCTTTCTTTTGAGATTCTTATTTTCTCTATTTTAGATAACAACCAGTGATTTTACAGCCAGTGAAAAATGACAGACGCAAGTTTTATTTTGTTTCATAATTTACATATTTATACTTACCTTCATTCCCTTTGTTTTCATTATCCGTTCTTTGAATAACATACTTACAAACTTAAAGAAAATGAATATTCATTTGTTAATATAAATATTTAACAATCCAATTACTGATATGATTTAAACACATCTCTTGGGACTGCCTGTGAATCTAAATTTTTTCTTGGGTTAATAAACTTGTTTCATGTATTTGGCTATGGAGATGAAAGGTTTTGGGTTGTGCAGGTCTTTATAGAAAATGTTTTAAGAATTTATACTGTTGTAATCCTTCTAGAACAGAATGCATGATTTAATTTTGTTCGTACAAAATTTCCTTTGGTGGTGTTTTTTTAAGTTATTATAATAATTTAAATGTAAAAAAGGAAGGGGGCAAAAGACGTCCTGTGCTTATTCTAATTGATATTTGTCAATACGTTATATCATTATTTTAAATAATGTTGTTCAATGTCAATATTATGAAGCCACTTGTAATAAAGTGCTTAAATACGTTTTCATTCATGAAAACCACACTGTCTCTCAGAAACAAATATAGTTTTATTTCTATAGATAGGGCATGAATTTTGTAACGTTTAATTAATTGTTTAAAAGAAACACAGGTTCCATGATAACCACCGTATGAACATCTGCGGATGTTTCTAAATTCAAAAGTTTACCATTTCATGTGTAAATGTTGAATTCTGCTTAAGCTGATGCTAGGGGGCGTGCACGGTAGTTTGCACTTGACAGTACCGTCCATGATCAGGCTCGTTGGAACCGAGCCTGCAACATTTTCAATTTTGACGTGTTTTGCTTTCTTTAGGGATTCTAATTTTCTCTATTTTACTCTTTCCTAGTAACTATAGCACAAAAGCTCTGAAATTGTTTCTTTGAACGGTTTCCAGCCAAATTTATTCTTGCTAATGAGTGGATGTCGATGTTAGGGTAGCAAGAAAAATTTATTTCACACTCCAAGCTGCAAAATGCTAAGCTAAGTTTCTAAACAATACTTGATGTCGAGGAAAAAATAACTAACAGCCAAAATGTGTTTGTGTTTTAAGACACACATTCCTACTTTACGGTCAAGCTGGTTTATATATGTTTATATAACTATTCGTTTCCTTTTGGTCCTTAACGTAAAGTTGTATTTCATGGTTTTATAATATATTATATGAATACATCTGCGGATGTGTTTTAATTCAAAATTTTGACATTTCATGTTTAAATGTTAAATTCTGCTTAAGCCGGTGCAATTGACAGTACCGTCCATGAACAGGCTCAATCAAACCGAGTCTGCAACATTTTCAATTTTGACGTGTTGGGCTTTCTTTAGGGATTAATATTTTCTCTATTGTATAATATACATTATTAAGACATCACTATTTTATAATTCGAATGTCCGTTGTTCGGTATTTTCTTTGAGAAATTGTAACAATGCTACACTATGTTTATTTTCTTTTAAATAAATGCATACACCTTATTTAATTGTTTACAATGCACTTAATAAGAAGAGTCATTTAAGGTAGCGTCAGACCGGTTATCCTACTTAAGGTTAGATGTTGATATTCGTCCAACTTAATGATAATTGTCCCAAAGAGACATAACATAGTTATTGCAAATTATCACGTTTGTGTTATCGCCTAAATCACCGTGTTTACCCCGTAACGCCGGAAAGTGAAAATAACGCACGATTCGTGCAAAATGTAACGCAGATTTGTGCAATAAATTTCCGTATTCATACCATATAATTTCGATATTTGGTAGACAAGTGACATCTACATAACTTCTGGTAACAAAGAAAATTAAAAATAAGCTGATACAATGTGATTCAAGCCTTTTTATGAGGTAACGCCGATGTACGTGAATAGTGCTTCAAGGTAACGCAGGAAAATATGCTTTTTTTCTTAAATGGTTCTCGGTCATTACACTGGTTTTACGCCTTTTATCGGCGAATATACAGTCATTTTTTTTGCAACGATGTCAATGTATTTTCTTCGTACATTTGTACCTTCTTAAGAATTATCACCAAACTTTCAACATTTTGATTGCAAAGTGGCATTTAATAAAAATTGATAATTGTTACCTGCTCAGAACATATAAATTATTGGTATTTTAACATGTTCCCTTAACATTGCCAAATAGATGATTCTCGGGGAAAGAACATATTCCCCATATTAATTTTACCTTTCTTACGAAGAAAGAAATGGTTCATAAAACGAGATAGTACCAAAGGTTTAAACATAAAATAAAATTGTGAGTTATAGTATTCACAAGAAAAAATAATAAATAACAGTGTGGTCATTTAAAGGGAGATACAGGCAAAATTTTCATTTCTTAGTTTTGAATTTTTCATCCATTATTCTGTATATGCCCTCAAAATGAATACTTTTGACAGTCAAAGGAACAAAACTTTTCTCCATATAAAGAATAAAATGGTGGTTTCCTAACTTGACCCGCGTGGATCAGGTTAGAGCGCTAGCATTTCACAATAGTTGTCAATGTGAACTCTGGAAACGTTAAAGAACATGTGAAATGAATGACTTAGGCTTGTTTCAATCATACAATATCCACAATATCTGTTGTTGTAACTTCAAGGGTTTGTTTAAGTCACCTGATTTGTTTAAAAACTAGTTGGTGATTCTGTTGGCGTCATAATTTTGTTCAAAATATATAGATATTTTTACGTTTCAAACCCAAAATATATAGAATTTAAACAGAAATTCATACTGAAACTTCAAGAAAAGTCATTTTAAAGTGATTTGAGTACATTAGATCATTTAAATATTTTTGTTATTATTTTGCCTGAATATCCCTTTAAACGATTTGTAATTCTCATTCATTAGAAATTATAAAACATTTGTTGACCATTTTCAATTAAGACAACTCTGTTAATGATTCCGTCATATTGTTTTAAGTGTAATTACCAGTGTGAAATTCAAAACAAATCCATTTGAATGAATATCTATAATTGGTTGAAAGCGGCCGTATTCATATCAACAATATTCGTAGGTACTTGATTTAATTTCTATTTCACCGAAACAGTTTTGTATTTGAGTGTAAAACAAAGAAACATTTCCATTTGGCCTTAAATAAAGTCAAAGTACTTGACACATTTTAGGTTCTCACAAGAGACTTCGGTGTGTAAGAATAAACTCAAGTGGTCGTTGACGTTTGTTTTACTTGTGACCTCTATTTCGGAATAGTGTTCGTGTGAACTAAATACGAGAGAAATGTATGTTGGAGAAACAGTTACAAATCATCAAGTGCTCTTTGTGTCAATCATTACGCCACTTCAAACCATAAGCCGATTTATTTTGCGATTTCCGCTGATGAAGCAAAAATATAAAAGAATAATTGGTCATTAAACAATGGTCTATACTAAAATCAGCGTTGTGTGTGGTTTCGCTGGTTTCGGACTCAGTAATTATATGTATTAGAAAGAGGTTGAGTAAAAAAATAAAAAGGCTAAAATAGCAAGTTACATATTTTCAATGACAGTTTTGTCCAGTACTTACAACAAAAGTGCATATGTGTTATTGCGCACATTGCGGACTATGTAAGAAATAAAAATATAATTAGTAGATATATAACACACCAAAATAACAAACATGTTTATATAAGTTGTCGCAGACTATGTATAATCGATAGCTTCATATATATTAAGTGCAGAAATTATAGACATAATCATAGCTGCATATATATTTAGTGTAGACATAATAGACACAAAACTAGTCACAAACATATTTAGTGTAGAAACTATTGACACAATTATAGCTACAAATATATCTAGTGCTTCAGTTACAGACACATTAATAGCTTGAAACATTATTTCAGAAATAACTGACCGATATCAGCTATACACGTGTTTATTATATACTTATAAATGAAATATTGAGAAATATTGATGAAATAGAATGCGTATTTTCATTTTCCGTATTTTCAATGTAAAAATTTATTTTTCACTGCAGTGAAACATATTTTCCGTATTTTCACTGGTGTCTTGCCGGACTACTTTCTTTTAAATTCTACCAGTATACAAAATTTAAGGGAAAGTTTTTCAAATTTTATCGCAAAAAAGAGAAAAATGTACATAATAAACAGAAAATTCAAGTTTTTTCTATAAATACATGATTTATTTTCATCTTGTGGTATGAAAATTACCATATTTCACTCGTGGCTACCGCCACTCATGAAATATTTATTTTCATACCACTCGATGAAAATAAATCATGTATTTATAGAAAAAACTTGAATATCCTCTATTTATTAAAGAAATAAAGAAATAAATTAAAGCTTTCAACATTTTTGTTTTATAATCTACGAACCACAAATAGCTTAAAAGATATTGGTAAAAAATAGACTAAAGAATTCATAAAAGAAAACATGGACTTAATTCTCTCAAGCAAATGTGAAGAGAGGATAACTTTAAAACTTGATGTTTAAAATGGAAAAATTCTGTCCAAAATTAATGTAACAAACGCACCTAAGGCCAAAAGCTTACGAAAATTATGTAAACATAAATAAATCAGCTTGGACATTATGTAGGAATATGTCTCTAAACATAAACACTTCCGCGGCAAGTTTTTTTTCCAAACCTAACCTTGTTTACAAAGAGCAGTATTTTGCTAATTGGTGTATTTAATTGGGCTTGTTTCTGTTTCAGCAAAACACGATATTGCCATTTCAAGTATGTAACATTCTTCTTAAGTCTGTCTCGTTAATTTGAACACTCTCATTTTTGTAACGATTCGTTTTTGAAAATGACAACAATTAAAGTGTTCTTTTTGTTATGGATGTCTCTGTGTGTAAATTGCCAAAGGGTCAGCTATAGGACACGTGAGTACCAGTAGAGATCTTTGCTCGTTTGCTTGTTATTGTTTGTTGTTTTCTTTTGTTGTAATCATATGGAAAATTAAATGAAGTTATGTATGCTTGAATATTAGCCGTTAGAATTTAATTCTTACTTATTTGGTGTTTCTATACAAAAGAAAAAAAAATCTGTTTAATATGCTATTAAATTGATGCATATACAATATTTAACTGTATACAATGCACTTTACATAGAAAGATATTGAACTTAAGATTGATTAAGACCGTTAGTCGTATTTAAGGCCGGGTGGTGATATTCGTGCCTTTAAGATGATAATTGGCCCAAAGGGACATGTTAAATATCACTTTTTATACTTATCTCCTTAATACGCATTTTAGCAACCCTAAAAACCCCATCAATTACGTGGTTATTAGATGAAATAGTGTCGATATTATAACAAGGTTAATTTAAAAATGTAGTTTTGGACATAATATTATAATGTTACTTTCAAGATATTGTTGCAAGTGTTATGGTAATTTTTTTAAAACATTCATCTCAACACACCGCTCTAAAAGTCCAATACACATATGAACATTTCGTTTTCAAAGACATAATAAAAGCTCAAGAAACGACAGTGATAATTAGCTAGTTAAAAAGTGGCCAAGAAATTTCCTGCTCACTCCAAAACTTATTATCTTTTGGAAAGGATTTTAAACAATCCGGTACAAATGTTCACAACCAAAAGATAAAGTGCAGAACGCAACATCAAAAAAATGATTCACCCAGTGTCAAGGTCACATTTACATATCAAAAGTAAAAATTAAATTCTAATTTCTCTTCCGCTGCATATCTTATCAAGCAAAGCAGCCGCGTCTTATTCATCGAGTCATGAATAAGACGCAAGGTTTACTGCGGAATGATTTTATTTTGTAAGTCATCAATCAAAACATTAATAAATTACACATTCAAATACAACAGCTTTACTCTTAAGCTTATTTAAAGTTTCTTGATTTGTGTTGCAATGTTTTTTACGTTTTCTTCAGATGGAAACACAACGTTTCCCATCTCATTCTTAACATTATAATGGACTGTGCAACTGTTTTCATGTTATCAGTGTAGTTTATCGAGACTAAATATCATGAAACCACACTAAAATTACTACACAATGCTGCAAATTTGATCTGGCTTTATGCACCTAACCGGTCTTTGTTAGTACACAAGGGTTTCTGTATATCAAAATAAACGTTAGGAACTGTAGTTGATGAAACTGCATGTTGCACTGTGCTAACTGATGTCACAACGTTTTTATCCAAGATGGCGTCCAAGATGGCCACCGCTTGCTTTCTGTTAATACATATGGATAATGACTTAACTATTTTAGTGGGAATCAAGGTTAAAATGTTGTTAGACTCATTCAAAATAAAGAAACGGTTTCCATAGTTATGAGTGAAAAATAGTTGAAATGAAATTTATTTAGAAAATGAGTACAACTAGTAAGTTTTCATGTGTCGTTTTGTAATTATGATGATGTTTATGGAATGAAAAAATAAGAGTAACATTTTTTTGTAAGTAATTTGTAAAATATTAAAAGTGATTACATAAAAAGTGAATGCGTACTTGAGCCAAAATAGCCGTGATATAACGCAGAACGTACTGTACATAATTATCATTGATATATCAATATTAAAACATCAACCTTTAATAGAAAGTGTAATTCAATGGAAGATGTCTTCTAATTTTTTCAAAATAGCTTTTGGACTGTATCAAATATAGCAAAAGTTGATCTGTATGATGATAATGGTATGTTGGTAAACTTGTTGTTTAATTGTTTGCAATGTAGTAAATGATTTCTAGCTTGAATGTAATTCCCATGTACTTAACTTTTAGTAAGTTATTTCTTACTGTAAAAAAGAAGATTGGACATGAATAATTACAACTTTTTCCAGCAGGGGATGTTGCCTATATTTCTATTGAGATTGTGTCTATACTTTTTCTTTAAACTGGCCAAATGTGTATACTCTACTACAAAACGTAAATGTCAACAAACATTGAATTAGTTACCATTTTGTTTATCATTTTGTTTATCATTAGCCTAAAAGCATTATATACAACGATGAATTGATGTCAGCAATCTTATTTTTTGGCAGATTTAATTTGTTTAGAAAAGTAAGTGTCTTTGATTTGGTTCATTTTCAACGAACACTTAGAGTGCCCATGTAGGTGTTTCACTGTTCAAATGCATGTGATGCATCTTGACTATTCAAATGTGTTGCCAGTTTTGATAAATAATATATTATGTGAATATATCATCAAGTGGCCAATCTTATTTTTTAAAGATAAAATTTTCAGATGAATCCTTTGAACTTGTTGGCATTGATGTTGCACGTTTCATTATATTAAAATTAAATTATCCAAATGACTATCCAGTTACTTTTATATTGGATGGTCTATTTATAATTCACAAAAAAACTGACATGAATGTATTTTAAGATATGTTTATTTCATTTCATTTTTTTAATTTGAATACATGTACATCGCGATAAGTTTAACAAACTGCATGGGTAGTGATCATTTTCTTCTGTTGTATCAGACAAGTGCTTGTCACATCTTAGCTGATGATATTTCCAAAGAGCATACAATGTATTTTCTTGCATGTCAGACAGGATTATCTACCGTTTACACCGGTGCTAGAAGACCCTGTCTTACACCCCATGTAAGACAAGTCGCTTGCTTTAAATGATGTCATTGCTGCGCGCCTTTTGTGAATGAATTTCGTTTTTAGGATGACGTCACTTAACCGTTATAAATGAAGTTGTAAGTTCATACGCTAATATAGGAACAAAAAGTGCGTAAGGAAAATATCAGGTTTCGTCATTTCTGTTCTGAAAATAATTGCTATGTAATATGCAAGAAAAATAATCAAACATTGGCTGTCGGTACAGACGGGAATATCTAGCTCTAGGGTAACTGTTTGAGCGGAAACTCGGCATAGCCTCGTTACCGCCGTAAACAGTTACCATCGAGCTAGATATTCCGGTTTTTACCGCCAGCCAGTGTAAGATTCTTATAATATTTAACTCTTCTTCACTTTTTTGAGATGAGCCTACCAACTTTGGCATTTTTCTCAATGGTACATATTAACCCCTTTAAGGCCTCAATAGACTGTAGGATTTTGAACTACAACACCATTGAAAACTTATATGTACAAGCAAATCCTGTTTGTGAAGGCTACTATTTCTTGAATTCATACAACTTAATACTAGATTAACAGGAAAGGACATGTTCTATCTCTTAATTCTTGTTGTATTGACCTCTCATGATGGCAGGTGACAATCTCCGCAATTAGCCCCTGATAATGTGTAAAATGAATGAAATTCCAGAACAAAAAGGGCTTAAATGTGAACATGTTAGACTTTTCCATCATTACTCATGAGACCAATAAACTGAACAGGTTTTAGGGTGCTCATTGATTTTATTCATGATTCCAGAACTTAGTAATTTCCAAAAAGCTCCCTCCATGCAATCCGCCTCCTACCTCTTAATCATTCACTTTACATGGTCAATACCAACACTTTTAACATTTACGTATATCTCAGTAATGATAGTGAATACATTATATAAGGAATTCATTCGGAGGGAATTGTTTTGGAGGGAAACCTGATGATTCATACAATATAGAAGCAAGTGTTGTACTGCTTTGAAAAATGTACGTCATATCTTTAATTAATCATGTACAACTTAATCCTACTGCCTGTTGAGGCCTTTACTTTGCTTGATATGATACATGATCCATACTTAATATGTTACAGTTATAGCACAATCTTCAAGGAGACATGGTGTATAATCAATTAGACTTTGAGACTTTCTTTTCATTGTTATTGTGCAATTTAACACCAAGAATTACAAAGATTGAAACTAACAATTCAAACAATTCATGTTTCATGCTTAGCCTTGCCGTATTTCATCTCAATTTAATGTTTTACGTATCAACTCCGAATATAAGACTTAACATGTACTTTTAAAAAGCGAACAACAACACGTTTCTACAAATATCAATAGTTTTCATTAATATAGACACCACAAAGAATCCCAGAACCTATGATTCTGCCTTGCCAGTCTGTGTAGTAATGTGAACTAACATATTTTATCTTTTATGTATAGATCATCTGCTTTTTGTCATGAATAATTGTACAGAATAAGGTTCTGTTAAATAAAACTATGATTACAATATCATATATTTGGAAATGTAAATTATGATATAATATATTGGGAGTTGTTTGATATAGCCAATCATTTTAATGTGTGATTTTTTAAGTTTCAGGCATAAAAATGAGAGAAAATATTTAAACCAACTAGTAATATTCCCCTATTTAGGTTTATGTTCAACTTCCTAGTGACCCAAATGGAGCCAAATCTCCCTACTTGGCTAAGTTCACATGTATGTGAACAATATCTTTATGTTTGTTTTTCACTAGGGTAAGCAGTAGATACATTTGGATTAATGATAGTGATATACATACATTGTTTAACTTATAATCTTAAAGCCCTTTAACGTATTTGTGGTGTTTTTTCTTTATCGAAAGCTTGTTGTCGCTGGACATTAAATGCAAAATTTTTAGTTCTTATAAACACTATACTCTTAAGCTCCTTTCATCTTCTATGTTTTTTCGTGTGTCACATAATTTTGATAACAAAAAGTAAACCAAATATTTCAGTAAAAAAAACCCCAAATAACTCTGATTTTTTTTTTTCAAAAAAAAAAATACCTGCCCTTTAGATATGCATTTCAATTTAAAAAGCTAAAGTTAAAAGTGATTAGCCTAAGACGTAACAAGAGCTGTCAAAGGAGACAGCGAAGCTCGACTTATCAAATACTGGACGTAGTAAGGAAGACAAAAGTATGAAAAAAAGTCAATTATCTCTAATAATGTATTAAGTTAATAGAAAAATAACATTTGTTAACATGAATTCCAAGTTCAAGGGGGATGATTCTGGAAATTGTCAAGCTAGAGTTATGAAGCTTGTC